AAAGTAAAAAACTACTAAAATCATAAAGTTTTCAAAAGAAAATTTGTTATATTTGTTTGGTAATCAATTACCAGTCTAAGTAATCGATTACCAGAAGAAGAAAACTTCTAAGTTCAAAATTAAAATGTTGAAACATGTTCTGGTAATCGATTACCAGTCCTTGTAATCGATTACTAGAACTTCAAAAATTTGAATTTAAAAGATATAACGTTTCAAATTTTTTGAACTTAAAACCGTTGTAATCAATTACCAAGTCTTGTAATAGATTACCAGAGTATCTTTTCTAAAAAATTATAAGGAGTTACAACTCTTCATGAAAAGATAAAAGGGAACCTAAAATTTAAATTATTGTTTGCAATCATGTTAGTTTCATCATAGGATACTGATTTCAAGCGTCGTAGGGTGCCTAACACCTTCCTGTCAGAACCCAAAAAAATTTGTTCTTGCCCACATATGGTTTAAACTTCCATTTTAAAAATCTCATCAATTAAGGAAAGCCCAAACACTAGACTAATCCCCAACTAATGGTTGAAAAAGTGTTCATAGAGTCACCACCGATATTGTGCTCAAAACATCAAAAGAGAAAGAAAGAGAGTTTAAAATACCAAAATGGCCTTTACAACTAGAATTTTGGTTCGGGGGTCGATTACGCGTAGGAAATGTGTTAGGCACCCTACAACACCCTAAATTGATACCTTATAATGAAATTAGCATTTTTGCAATCAATAGTTTAAATATTAAGTTCCCTTTCATTAATAATTATCCATATATTTACACGATTTGCCCTATAACATCTACATGATTGCTTTTGTTTATAATAGAAGAAATAGATAGTAAAGAAAAATACCTCTTAAAAAGATCTTTTATAGATATTTATAAAGTAGTAAACTTGAGGTGCTTTTCGGCTACCTTTCACACTTCAAAATTCCTCACAAATCTAAAGAAATACAACAAACAGAGTGAAAAGAATTATAGATTTTGGAGGGACTATTTAGAGACTAAATTTTTCGGCCATGAGCATTGTGCTAAAGCCTGTTATTTATAGGCATGAAAATCCACCAGAATGGGTCGTTCTGATTTCAGAATGGGACATTCTAGAATTTTCTATTATGTGTAAAATTTGGATCTAGAACAGGCCATTTCAGGCTTGAATTTTACACATAACAGACTAGGTTAGAATAGGGCATTTTGACCTAGGATTACAAGCCTTTTTCTAAGCTTGGAACAACCTATTCCGGTTTTGGAACAACCCATTCTAGGCTACTAATTTTGGCACTTGGTTCTTTGGATCTTTAGATGTCATGTTAACTTGCTCTAGCGTTGCTTTCGAGTCTTTGGGAGCTTCTTCTTCATGCTAAAAGTCCATTTCCTTGTTTTAGTGCCCTGGACAAAATTAGGTGTCTATAGATGCCACTCATTACTTGTCCTTTTGGATAGCTACGCGTTGCTTATCTAAAGGCAGGTAAAGACGTAGACATTTCATCTGGGTCTTCTCTTTGTCACTTCGTGTAGGTGCTTCCACATCGTTTCCTATAGTTTCTTCCTTATGATAATGAGGTGAAGATCTGAGTTTTCTTCTTTGCTTTGACAATAGGTGCTTCCACATTGTTTCCTTAAGGTAGATGGGTTTACCTGTATCTTTACCCTTTGGAGTAGTTGATTGTTGAGTTGCATGCTCCATTGAGTAACAAGGATGGTAAATTGTTCCATCTAGGCGTCCGACTTGGTGTAGAGACTCCATGTTGTTTCTACTTATTTTGGTGATAGTGTGACTTTATTATTATTTTTTTATTTTTTATTTTTTGGTACTGGTTTTGAAGGTCCAACAACCTTTTCCGCTCTTGTACTAGTTTTGAGGGTCCAACAAACTTTTTCGCACTTGTACTGGTTTTTAGACTCTAACAACCTTTTCCCCTTTTGTACTAGTTTTGAGGATCCAACAACCTTTTTCGCTCTTGTATTGGTTTTGAGGGTCCAACAACCTTTTCCACTCTTGTACTGGTTTTGAGGGTACAACAACCTTTTCTACTCTTGTACTGGTTTTAAGGATCCAACAACCTTTTCTGCTCTTGTACTGATTTTGAGGGTCCAACAATCAATTCCACTCTTGTACTGGTTATGAAGGTCTAACAACTTTTTTGGCTCTTGTATTGGTTTTGCGGGTCCAACAACCTTTTTCGCTCTTGGTGCTGAGTATTTTTGTGCGGCCTCTCCAGGCCTACAAAGGTGAGTATTTCTACGCGGGCTCTATTGGCCTAGAAAGGTAAGTATTTTTGCATGGCCTCTCCAAGCCTACAAGAATGAGTATTTTTGCGCAACCTCTCCTAGCTTACAAAGATGAGTATTTCTGGGCAGCCTCTCTAGGCTTACAAAGGTGAGTATTTCTACACGGCCTCTCTAGGCTTACAAAGGTGAGTACTTCTGTGTGACCTCTCTAGGCTAATAAAGGTGAGTATTTCTATGTGGCCTCTCCAGGCCTACAAAGATAAGTATTTCTACGCAGCTTCTCTAGGCCTACCAAGGTGAGTATTTCTGCGCGATCTCTCCAGGCCTACAAAGCTGAGTATTTCTGTGCGGCCTCTCTAAGCCTACAAAGGTGAGTATTTTTGCACAGCCTCTCTAGGCCTACGAAGATGAGTTGATTTGAGGAACTCGAAGGTATCCTCCCATTGATGTTGTGGAATGAGGTGTACGGTAAGGATTCTGGTGTTGTCTTATCGTGTGAGTATTATGATGCCTTTTCAGGCATCTTTATTGGGAATGAGATGTGTAGCAGGGATTTTGGTGTTGTTCCTGCCGTTTGAGTATTATGATGCCTCTCTAGCCATTTTTTGGGGATCTTTTTGACTTGTTGATTGGTTGGTATGAGTCTTATGTTGCTCCTACCAAGTGAGTATTATGATGCCTTTCCAGGTGTCTTCTAGGGATTGGTTGGTTGATGACTGGCTGGCAGAAATCTAGTGATGCTCCTGCCAAGGTGAGTATTGTTATGCCTCTCCAAGTGTGTTTTGTGGATGTTGAGTTTTCCTTATGGGTGGGTGTTGTCGGCATGCTGCCTCAAGTGGTGTTCATCGTGGTGACCTTGTGAGCACGAGAATGCTGATATGGATGACTTGGTTGTTGTTGTTGTCATTGTTGGATTGCTTGCTAAGGAGTAGGTATGTGGCTTGACGATGTCGAACTTGGATGGTTCTGATCTTCGTTGGAGTTATTTGACTTGATCATTAGACTTTGCCTCTTGCTTGAAGATGAATTTCCCAGGCCGAGGACTTCCTAGTGTTACTCTGTTGTTTAGCTTCAACTTTTTCTAGTGTGGAAGCATTGCCTTTTTCTGTGTCATTTTTTTTGTATTATTATCTTATCTTGCTTTTTTTTCGTCTCGTTTTCTCAAATTGCAACGTAAGTAGATGCGAGAAAATGGAAACAAAATATACTCTCATAAATCAGATATAGTTTTAGAGTATAATGATAAAACCAATACAAATATAAATAAAGAGTAAAATGCCTAAAAACTAATCTAGTCCTTAGTCGGGGGATCGGGGAATCGTCTCTACAACTATCCCATCATCTGATCATGCCATTGTTGTTGCTGATGATGCTATTGGCGTATCTCCTCCTACAAGCCAGTGAGGCAGTTGTCAAAGCTCTAATGCCACCTCTTCATTTGTTGGCGGAGTGCCTCAATATTTGTCCCTTCTTATGGTTGTGGGGGCACGTGCTGCTCCTACTACGATCGTGGTTGTTGTGGTTGTGCCTCCTGTTGGGCGAGTGTGTCTCTAAATGTAAGGTCATCCATATCGAATGCCTCCATGGTGACGTATCCCTCCAAAGTGAGCTCGATGACACACATATAAAAATATTGATTGAAATTCTTACAGTTTCCTTTTCAAGATAGTTTCATTTAAGGATAAGTAGAAGATGAAACTTTCAGTGTAATAAGTTTGTCAAGAAAAGTTAGCGTCTTCGTCTAAAAGTTGTTTTAAAGATATATGAACATTGGACGAAGTCCTTAACAAATGTTTAATCAGTAAGGAAGATTTGCGTCTAAGTGAATAAAAGGATGCAATCATTTTATACTGATTTTCTCAATAGAGCTACATCCAGGCTCCTTCAACTTGAAGGGTTCCCCTAGATATGAAATGAAGAACATTGAGTATTATCGTCTACTCTTAGACCTGAGTATTCTTGACCACTCTTGGCCTTAAGTATTCTCGACCACTCCTGGCCCTAAGTATTCTCGACCACTCCTGGCCCGTCAACTTCACTGTCGCTAGTATTCTTAAACCACTTCTGGTTCTCCAAGTATTCTCGACCATTCCTGGCCCGTCGGCTTCAATCACCAATGCTAGTATTCTTAAATCACTTCTAGTTCTCCAAGTATTCTCGACCACTCCTGGCCCGTCGGCTTCACTCACCATCGTTAGTATATTCTTCTTAGCCATTTCTGGCTAGCAGTGAGTATTCTTTGACAAGCCCCTCCGGGCTTTACAAGTATTTTTTTCCTAGCCTATTAAGGATTTACAATGTTGGCTAGACAATTTTGGTTGAGTGCATACATAACTCTCATAGAGAGGATTGGAAATTTCCTACACTCACTAAGGTTTGCTAGCTTAGTCTAACAGAGACTTGTGTTTGAGTGTTTGGGTTACTCTCATGGAGAGGATACATAGGTTTACAACACTCACTAAGGTGTAGTCCATCTCTAACATTTTGAACACCTTAGTCTACAGAGATAAAAATACAATATTACATTGTACATATGACTATGTATGCTCATCTCCGGTCTCTGTCTCGTGGGCTTGAAATCACTCTTTTTCTTCCAATCAAAAGCCAACCTTTTAAGGTTTGAGGTAGTGATATATATAAATTTTTGTAAAATCTGCCCGTTGCAACTTCTCATTGAAGCAAATATAATTTATATGACACATGGCATAAGGTTTAATTAGTTTAATTTTTTAATTTTTTTATCTTTTAAAATGATCATTTTGATCCTTTATCTTTTAAAATGGAAAGGGGCTCTTAGGATCCAGTATTGGCTTCACCTTTCCACTCTCCAAGTAAGGTCTCAGTTTCTCCAACAAAGCTCCATCTGAAGTGAGCAAAAATGGGATGGCTGGTGGAGTTCTAGGAGGCAATATTGTCACAACTTTACCCTCTTCTTTAACAGCCTTCAATGCCCTCTCACTTTGCCCTGTGTTAATTTGGAACAACAGTTTTTGAGACAAATTATTCAACAACAATATTATGTTTGTGAAACATACGAACATAGGCTAAGATGACTTAAAGTCTAAATAACTTACCTACAGCATCGTACACCACATCAAACTTCTCTGCCAATTCTTCAAAATTCTCCTTTGTGTAATCAATAGGCAAGTCTGCTCCTAAGTTCTTCAACAATTCTAGTTTTCCAGTACTAGCAGTAGCTGCTATCTTAGATGCACCAAACACATGCTTGGCGATCTATCTCATGATCAAACACAGGCATATACAAAAAAAAGTTAGTTTTCCAGTAGAATATAAAATACTATATTGTGTGCAAAGAAAAAAATATGCCATAGAAATATAAGAGAGGCAGATCAACTTCTTGATTTATATTGAAACCTGAATAACAAGTGAGCCAACTCCACCAGCACCTCCAAGAACAAGAATAGATTTTCCAGCGGAGAACTCAGCGGCTTCAAGTCCTTGATAAGTAGTTATGATTTCCAAAGGGAGGTTAGCAGCTTCCACAAAACTCAAATTGGAGGGTTTGTGAGCCAATACTTTTTCTTCAACAGCAGTGTATTCAGCCAAAGAGCCAATAGTCTTTGGATGGTCCAAAGTAATCTCATTGATATCGCCATAAACTTCATCTCCAACTTCAAATTTCTTCACTTGATTTCCCACTCTAACCACCACCCCAGCAACATCATACCCCGGTGCAGTCTTCTCACCACCACACAAAATAAAACATATTGTGAAATGAGATAAAAATAAAATCAAAATGTTGGGGTAGTAGTAGTATATATAATACAATATAATATATGCTGAAAGATTTGAGAAAATAATCTTACGGGTAAAGGAGAGTCGATGTCCTTGAAATGGCCAAGAGCCCTCTTGTAATCTACGGGATTAATGGCAGCAGCCACAACCTTCATGAGCACTTGGGCTTCCTTGATGTGTGGTGTAGGTACATTTTGATCAAACTTGAGAACCTCTTCTATGTTCCTATATTCTGAGTACACCCAAGCTTTTATGTGAGATGGAACGCTAGAATTGGTGCTTGCCATGATATTGTAGGATTGAATGAATAAGTTCCTTGTAGTAAGAGTGTTAATTTGGAGAGAAAGAGATAAAAGGATTTAGATATATCATAGTTGAACTGAATGATGTGTGTGGGATGATTATGCAGATTAAATTGCTATTTATAGCATGCAATTGTGGCATTGCATGGTTTCTATTTTTGGAATTGGGGGTGCATAAAGCATTCTCAGGCTTTTTGACCTGAGTAAATAAAAAAAAATACACGAAATAAAAAAATATTTACCGAAATAGGTGATTTTGGACACGTAGGCGCACACGTGGCACTGAAAATGCCTGGGGGGTGGGCATTTTTTAGAAAACTCCTCCCCCCAGGCGCCTTATGATGCTGATGTGGCAGGGGGGATTACGTTTTGCACAAAGAGCCTCCCCCCAGGCGTTTTGTGCACGTGGCACCATTGGACTGAAGGCGCCTCCCCCCAGGCGTTTTGTACACATGAGCGTTCTGAAGGCGAAAGTGCCTCCCCCCTGGGCGCCATGTGTTCTCCATTTGGCACTTGGCAGAGGTTCCCCATTTTGTGTTTAAGTGCTGTCCGAGAGAGTAAAGTGGCACAAACGTTCTTCATTGAGAAAACGCTTGAAGTCCGGGTGCTTTGAGAAAACAATTCTACTTGTTTTTGAAAAATTTGATCGCCCACAAAATTATATTTTCACGTTTTTATCAGGTATGTTTTATACTTTATTTATTTTAAATTTAGAAAAAAATTTAAATACAAAATGTTTAGGGCCATTCGTTTCTGGTTTCTGGGCGTGGAACGGCCCGTTCTGTTCAGAATGGGCCGTTCTGATTGAACAAAATGTTTGTTTTTTTGGATCTGGAACGAGTTGTTGTGAAAGTAGAACGGTCCGTTCTGAAAGTAGAACGGGCCATTGTGGGGCCGTTCTGGTTGTTTGATTTAGTGAAAATTGGAAGGGGTCAGAACGGCCCGTTCCAAAACCCAATTTTAGACACGTTTTGTACAATGAGAACGGCCCGTTCTGGTTTCAGAACGGGCCGTTCTGATTGCAGTCATGAAGTATTTTAGTTGAATATTTTGAATTATTATGAGGGATTAAATTAGGTAGTTTTGCATTTATAAAATGTATAATTAATTAGTTGTTTGACTTTAATATTTAATTTGTTTGTTTGTTTAATTATGTCAGGATGTATACACAGATGATTCATACAGGACCTATCGATGATTCATTATTAAGGCTTCAACCATTCCATATATCTGAGCATATATGGAATGGAGCTGAAGATAGGGTTTTGAAGGTTAGGAGTTCAAAACAATCAGAGTTGCGTGGTGGTGAGATTCCAACTACTATTCAGGATCTTCTACAGAGGACTGGTTTTATGGGGATGGCGCAGATTAGTTACTTTTCTGTGGACAATCATTTAATTTCTACGTTAGTTGAGAGATGGAGACCAGAGACCCACACATTTCACATGCCCTTCGGCGAGTGTACTATCACGTTAGAGGATGTTGCAATGTTACTTGGGTTGAAGATCTCCAGGCCACCCATTATTAGATACGCAACTATGGATTGGGGAGCTCTTGTGCAGTGCCTTCTTGGCATGACACCCCCTGAGTCAATGCTTACTGGCGGTCGATTGAGGATGAGCTGGATTGACCGACATTTTTCTAATGTTTCTGAGCATATAAATAGCCAGGAACAGTTGGAATGCTATACTAGAGCGTTCATTTTACGCATAATTGGGGGATATTTATTATGAGTGACTCCAGTCACCATAAACTCTTTCAATTGCCTTTTGTTTGGCTTTCCATGCCTTCCGGTACGACACCTTATGGTTGAATTGTCCACTAATTCTTTCTTGAATTAGAGAAATCGAAATGGAAGCATCTTCCCTAACCATGCCTACAAATAAATGCTAACCATGTTAGACAAAGTTATATCATAAGTTTTAACTTCAAAGTTAAATATGCACTTACCTAATATACAACAACATATGAACTCAGAGTCCAATTTGTTGGGATCTTGAGATAGCATGGGGTTAATACATGTGTGTGTCCCGCCCCATTTCTTGATGACCCATTTGTTGTTCAACTTACTAGACATAATTGCCCTTAGTTTCCAAGGACAACCTTCATTGTTGTTAGGGCATTTGACAGAGAAAACCCTTTGGCCAGACTCAACAACAACAAAAGTTTGATGTGCATTCATAGAATAATGTTTAATACCCATCTGTACATCATTTTTTGTGTGGAAACGAAGCCCAACATACAGCTCATCGCCAACTCCCCAAGAATTAGGGACATCTAAACCATGATACCAACTCTCTTGATCTGGATGACTCCAGTCAATATAACTGTAATGTGGAGTTTCTGTCCAAAAAGGATTATTTGAAGGTCCTACATGGAAAAAAAATGTTAAGTAAGTACCCATATTATTTATCAAAATAATAGAACTTGAAATAAACATGATTCAGTTGGCTGGGGAGGTTCAACTTCATATGGTGATTGCACCCTCACATTGTTGTTTGCATTGACATCTTCTTCATCCTCTGTATCAGATGAATTCAAATTGTCGGCTTCATCACCTTGTCCCAGATTGATATCATCGTCGCTCAAGTTTGTCTCAAAATCAATGTTTGAGTCAGGATAATTTATTGGTGGTGAGATTGGAACATTTCTGGGTTGCAAATTAGGGATGTTAGTTGCCAGATAAGATGTTGTTTGTTCAAATTCATGATGACTAGTGGTTGCCTGAGTTTCATTAACATGAATTGAACAGTGATCGATTTAAATTCGAGATGATCTACACCGTTGATTCTGTCGGTGCGATCAGAGCCATTCGTTTCCCCTGCTACTAAGAGACAACACATCTGACCCATGAACAGTGATCCATTTAAATTCGAGATGATCTACATCGTTGAATCTGTCGGTGTGATCAGGGCCGTTCATTTATCCTGCTACTAGGAGAAAACACATCTGACCCATGAATAGTGATCGATTTACATTCGAGATGATCTACACCGTTGATTCTGTCTGTGCGATCAGAGCCATTCGTTTCCCCTACTACTAAGAGACAACACATCTGACCCATGAACAGTGATCCATTTAAATTCGTATATTTTCTACACCGTTGATTCTGTCGGTGCGATCAGGGCCGTTCGTTTCCCCTACTACTAGGAGACAACACATCTGACCCATGAACAGTGATCCATTTAAATTCGAGATGATCTACACCGTTGATTCTGTCGGTGCGATTAGATGCGTTCGTTTACCCTGCTACTAGGAGACAACACATCTGACCCATGAACAGTGATCGATTTAAATTTGAGATGATCTACACCGTTGATTCTGTCGGTGCGATCAGGGTCGTTCGTTTCCCTTGCTACTACGAGACAACACATCTGACCCATGAAGTGAACAAAGTAAACACTTAACTATTGTTTAACAACAACGACAACAATAACATGAAGTGAACAAAGTAAACACTGACTGTTTACAAATTAAACAACGATACAAACAACAAAACATTGATTGTTAACGTATACGGTAACCTACATCAAGTTTAGTTGTCTTTCAAATGAATTGACCATGTCCCACATCTGCAATTGTTGAGGCTCCAGATCTTCAAAAGTAACAAACAAATTCAGTAGTAATTCATTCAAGTCTTCTGCAAATTTGTGAAACATGAATGCCATATCTTCATCACAGGTTAAAGGATATGGAGTATATTGCTTTTGCTATCCCCTTTGATCAACCTCCTATGTACCTCATTCAACAAATCAACAAGTGTCATCTTATACTCATTTTAACTAATTAACTTACATGAACAAGTGATGATGGCTTGTCTGGATATCATTTTGAGAATTAAAGAAACGAAAAACTATTTTCTTTTTTACTTTTTTATTGTCTTGTATGCTATAATTTAGGACAGCATAACATGAGCTTTTCAACCATAATAAATTGATGGCAAACTCTAGGAGAAGTGATAGGTGTCTTCTCCTCGGATTCACCAAAGCTTGGATCTCTTCAAGAAGACTTGAAACCGGAGCAAAGAACACTTAAGAAGAAGGAGGACTCTCAGAATTTTGTCTCCCTTTATTTCTTTTTAGAAATGCTTTCTCATATATTCAAATTCTTAGACAAATTGTATGTAATTAATGATGCAAAACTACTCAAAACACAAGTAAGTAACAAGTAATTAAAAGTGCAGGGAAAGAAGAATTGCAAACTCAATTTATACTGGTTCAGCTAGTCCTGCCTACATCCATTCCTCAAGTCTCCACCTTGAGATTTCCACTATTCTTGTAACTCTTACAAGACTTGAATCCTCCAACACCTTGGAACTCCCTTTCCTTGTGTTGAGATTTAAAAACCAACAAAGAGAAAAACCCTTTCTCCTTTACAGATCAACTGATCAAGTGGGTATTACAGAATGACTCTCTTTGAAGAGTAGATATTACACTTTCTAAGATCTTGATGAACTCTTTAGAAATTTTTGCAAATGACTTTGGCCAAGTAGTTTTCGTAAATTGATTTTCACAATAGAGTTCGTAACCTTCTTCTAAAAAATTATAGGTATTTATAGACAATTATTTCTTAGGTTGTCTTTTCATGAAGAGTTGTAACTCCTTATAATTTTTTAGAAAAGATACTCTGGTAATCTATTACAAGACTTGGTAATTGATTACAACGGTTTTAAGTTCAAAAAATTTGAAACGTTATATCTTTTAAATTCAAATTTTTGAAGTTCTAGTAATCGATTACAAGGACTGGTAATCGATTACCAGAACATGTTTCAACATTTTAATTTTGAACTTAGAAGTTTTCTTCTTCTGGTAATCGATTACTTAGACTGGTAATTGATTACCAAACAAATATAACAAATTTTCTTTTGAAAACTTTATGATTTTAGTAGTTTTTTACTTTTCATTCAAAATTATTTTTGTATAATATTTTTGAACACATTTCTTTTTACTTTCTTTTTCATAAACTTATATTCAAAAAGACTAAAT